TTCTTAAGAAACATACGTTTTGCCCAGCCAGTGTGGCTCAGTGGTTGAGCGTTGACCTGTGAACCGGAGGTCATGGTTTGATTCCCAGTCAGGGCACATGACCGGGTCGCAGGCCCGATCCCCAGTGGGGAATGTGCGGGAGGTGGCCAATCAATGGTTCTCTCTCATTATTGATGTTTCTATCTCTCTCTCCCTCCCTCTCTGAAATCAATAAAACTATTTTTTTAATATATTTTATTGATTTTTTACAGAGAGGAAGGGAGAGAGATAGAGAGTTAGAAACATCGATGAGAGAGAAATATCGATCAGCTGCCTCCTGCACATCTCCTGGGGATGTGCCCGCAACCCAGGTACATGCCCCCGACCGGAATCGAACCCAGGACCTTTCAGTCCGCAGGTCGACGCTCTATCCACTGAGCCAAACCGGTTTTGGCAATAAAACTATTTTTAAAAAAGAAACATACTTTCCTATGCAATAAATCCATGATCACTGTTGAAAAATTCTATAATGTGAAGAAACTGAAAAATGAAAACCTCCCCAAACCCAGAGTATACATTTATTGATAATTACACTACCTAGAAATAACTTCTGTTAACATTTTTGTATGTTCTTAGTCTCTTTTTCTCTCCATACATAGATGTCTTCTCTATTTTTACACATATTTTGCCAAAACACTGGTAACATATGTATCCTTTTTTGTTCACTCAATATATCAACGCCTTTCCACGTCAATGGATATACACATAACATCTTTTTATTTACTGCTAAAGTGTGAAAAACACAAAAGTTAAAAAATTAAGTGAGGGAGCCCGGCTGCCACGCACACCGGTTGTCCGTCGTGGCAGCGGCAGTGGTTGGGCTGCAGTAGGGCGGCTGCCTCCCGAGCGATGAGGAAGCTGCTCCAGGGAAGGACAGGAAGGGCCAGGTCCTAAGGCCTCTGCCTCCCAGACTCCACGCGGGTCCGGCTTGCGGGTGGTGACGGAAGATGGAGCCACCTAAGGAGATTCAGCCACTCTCTGACTTCCAACAAAGACCATCACCATCATTTCTTGAGCACCTGCTCTGTGCTGGGCATCATTCTGGACATTGGGGTGGATTCAAAAGAGATAAAAGGCACAGTCCTATCCCTCAAGCAGCTTGTAATTTAATTTGGGAGCTGAAACCCACTCAAATGATGTGGCGTAAGAACGGTAAGAAGCATTATTTTACTAGAATAGGCACTAGGAAAAAGTTCATGCCTTTGTCCTTGTCAAACCCTTGATGTCTTTGCTCATGAAATAACCAGATACGCAGATGAAAACAAAACCATTAATATTCACTTGAAAGAAGATACTCCGAGCCCTGGCTGGTGTGGCTCAGTTGGTTGGAGCGTTGTCCCATTTACCAAAAGGTCTCGGGTTCGATTCCCAGTCAAGGCACATACCCAGATTTAAGGTTTGATCCCTGGTTGGGGCTTGTGCTGGAGGCAGCCAATGTTTCTCACATTGATGTTTCTCTCTCTCTCTCTCTCTCTCTCTCTCTCTCTTCTCACCTCCCCGCCCCCCGCCTTCCTCTCTAAAATCAATAAAAATATATCCTTGGGGGAGGATTAAACAAAAAAACATGATATCCAGGAGTTGTCGGTAACCAGCAGACAGGCCGGTTGTTCCAGCTGGATGGAGTTCTCCATAATGCCTCCCAGACTTGGTTTATGAGAAGCCTTGAAGGATGTAGTTTCTCGTGCCCTCGATGGCGATATTGGTAATTGAGTTAATGAACTGTTTTACTTAAGAACCTGTAGAACCCCTCTAGAGGAGGTGCAAGTATTATATGGTGAATAAAGTAAAATAGAAGCTCATTTACTAAAAATAAAATAAAATAAAATAAAAATAAAAATTAATGAGTAGTAAAATACATAGAGACAGAAAGTAGGATGTTGGTTGCCAGGGCTGTGGGAGGGGGAATGGGGAGTTAGTGTTTGATGGGGATAGAATTTCTGGAGGTGGATGGTGGTGGTAGTTGCACAACAACGTGAATATACTTAATGCCACTGAACTAAACACTTAAAAATGGTTATGATGGTAAATTTATTTATGTTATGTGTATTTTACTATAATTAAAAAATAAATATACTAAAACTAAAAAAAAGTGTAAACAATTTAGATGAAAATGAAGACTCCCACCTACTCTTTATACTCACTACGTGGGCTGTAGAAGAGCTAACCAATGTTTTAATGAGGTTCCTGTGGTTTGAGCTAAGCCATTGATACACAGTGTTTTCTCTTAGTTCTGGTGAAAGTCGTCCAGAGTAAACACAACTGCGAAGTGATGAAAACTGGTTGGTTTCCATTCCAGAGCCTGAACTCTAAACAGCTAAGCTCTGCTACTTCTTTTATAAGTTGGTTTTATTTAAAAGAATACTATATCAGTGACAGTCAAAGAAAAAGTCACTTTTTATTCCCCATTCAGCCCTCTTGTTACTTCTGTGCATTCCTTTCTTCAGTTCCTGCCCTATTTTCCTGCTTTTTAAGGGTCCAGGGGAGTGCCATCTGCAGGTGATGGTAATGACCTTGGTATTTGATTAGTTCTGTCCTAACCAATAGTTCTGTCCTAACCAGTCCTAGGTTTGAATCTTATCAGCTGTTCGATTCAGGGGAAAATAATTTTGCCTCTGAGAGCCTCCATGTGCTCAGAAAAAACAAATGCAGATAATTGTTGACCAGCAGAGATTGTCATGAAAGTAAAATAAACCTGCTTGGCCCTAGCTGGTTTGGCTCACTGGATAGAGCGTCGGCCTGGGGACTGAAGGGTCCCAGGTTCCATTCCAGTCAAGGGCATGTACCTTGGTTGCGGGCACATCCCCAGTGGGGGGTGTGCGGGAGGCAGCTGATCAATGTTTCTCTCTCATCGATGTTTCTGGCTCTCTATCTCTCTCCCTTCCTCTCTGTAAAAAAATCAATAAAATATATTTAAAAAAAAATAAACCTGCTTGGTGCCATACAAGTGTAGTGCCATGCATTTAGTGAGCATTAATATTGTTCTAGTCCCAAAGCTTGTGTTTGAGGTGTTTTGGCTCCATGGTAACAATCAGTTTTGTTTAGAGAGAGACAGTTTACCTGTTGGAATGACTGGATGCTACTGGGGACTCAAAGGCTGGAGGGGGGTTGTCTCTGCTCCACCTGATGATGCAGGTGTGAGAGTTAACAAGGCAGAAGCCTTCCCTGGGACTTTGGTGCCCCCATTTTTGTGGTTTCCAAATATGGGTCTACTGCAAACCACCAGTGAGTGAGGGGCCATGCATGCAGGGCTGCAGAATTTGGATTTGATCTGGGAGGCAGTGGGGAGATATCAGGAGTCAGGTGAAGAGTATATTCTTTATCCCCATGATGGGGTCATGAAAGCTTCCAGCAGAGGAGTGTTGAGGCCAGATCTGTATTTTAGTGAGATGCAGCCTGGGAGGGATCTGAAGGCCTCTGAGCTGGAGGCAGTGGCTGCGGGGAGAGATGACACCAAGGTAGCAATGGAGGAAGCTGCCTGACATAGAGAAGCTGGGTGGAAGCCAGTGTAGACACCCTGACAGTACCTTGGGGTTTCCCAAATCGATGCAAAGGGGAAGTGATTACAGAAGGCAGGTGACCTCCACCCAGGCTCCTTTGGCCAGCCCTGTCTGCCCCGCTGTGTGATCTTGGGGAAGCACTTAACCTGCCCAGGCCTCAGTTTCCTCATCTCTAACTGGGATAAAATGGAAAATCCTTGTGAGGATTTGATGTATGCAAAGCTGGGCCTGGGTGTCACAGTGTTGGTACTCAGTTGACGTAGCTGCTATTTTCAGAGTCCCTGTCTATAGAACAGGGAAGGATGCGTATGTTCCTACTGCTTGTGGAAGGGGAAGCTGTAGGACTAGCCAGAACTTTTATATTCAGGGGATCAACTAGGGACTTAGCAGGATGGATAACTTTAACTACCCTACGTGTTCAGGGAGATGCATAATTTATAGAACCCTTTCATTTTTCTTTCATTATGTTTTTATTGATTTCAGAGAGAGGAAGGTTAGAAAGAGAAAGAAACATCAATGAAGAGACAGAATCATTGATCAGCTGCCTCCTACACACCCCCTACTGGGGATGGAGCCCGAAACCTAGGCATGTGCCCTGACTGGGAATGGAACCGTTGCCTCATGGTTCATAGGTTGATGTTCAACCACTGAGCCACACCAGCTGGGCTATAGAGCCCTTTCATGCCTGTGTTCTCATATTTCCCTCCCAACAGTCTGTGAGGTAGGCAAGCAGATATTAACACAATCTTCCTTTTATAGGTGAGGAAACAGGCCCTTGGAATGAAAGTGACTTTTTGCTCGGCCGGTGTTGCACTAAGAGGTTGCTGGTTCGATTCCCAGTCAGGGCAAATGTCCCAGTTTCAGGCTTGATCCCCAGTAGGGGGAGTGCAGGAGGCAGCTGATCAATGCTTCTATCACTCCCTTCTCCCTCTCCCTTCCTCTCTCTCTAAAAATCAATAAAAACATATTTTTTTTAAAAAAAATGACTTGTCTAAGGTCACACAACTAGTAGGATTACATTTTTTTTTTAATCCTCACCTGAGGATATGTTTATTTATTTTAGAGAAAGGAAGGGTGAGAGAGAGAGAGAAACATTGAGTTGCCTCTGGAATGCATCCTGATTGGGGATCAAACCTGAAACCTTGGTATGTGCCCTGACCTGGAATCGAGCCTGAAACCTTTTGGTGTATAGGATGACACCCCAACCAACTGAGCCACCTGGCCAGGGCACAGCTAGTAGGATTAGAAACCAGGTGTTCTGACTCAATGTCAGAGCTGGAGCGATCACAGGCGATTGTCCTGACCAACCGCTGTATTTTACGGACAGAGCGTCCGAGGCTCCGAGGGCGAGAACTCGCTGGGGCACACTGTGCTTTCGAGGCAGAACCTGGACTAGACCAGCCTCCGATGGCTGTCCCACTTCACTGAATGATAACACCTTTCTTCCCTTCCCCCTTGTTTCAGGGAAACCAGTTCCTGAAATCAGGCCTTCTGTCCCAGACTTCCCGGGTGCCGAGAAGCCAGGAAGGCCCTGGGCAGCTTTGGTAAGAAACACGGAGGATGAACAGAAAAGGGGGCAGCCTGTGAGGCCAGCTGCCCTTCCCGACCCAGGTATTTTTAATTAAATTAAATTTTTTTAATTTAAAGAATACTTAAGGAAATGATTTATCTATAAGGATATTCAGCTCAGTATATAATGGCAAAAAATTAGAAACAACAGTGGGAATGGTAAAATTAATGGCAGGTCATTGCAATAATACGTTAGCCTAACATAATACTGTTAACATTATTAACATAACAGTGCTGTTAACAATGATTCGGATATGTATGCATACATGGAAACATGCTTACAATATATTAAATAAAAAAAAGTCAGATAATAAAAGAATATACTGTTTTTTACCATTTTACTCAGTGAATGAGGGCTGTGTGCCGGACACTGTTCTAAGCACTTCAATGATGTTCACTTATTTAATCCTTCTTAGCTGTGAGCTTGGTGATTATCTCCATTTCACCGATGAGAAACTGTGAGTGTAGAGCGTTAAACAGCCTGCCAGGGTCATATGCGTGGGGCCCAAGTATCTTACCTGCCCCCCAGCACGGACTGGCCCTGCATGTCGGCTCCAGGATTCGGAGCCTAGTGACCTCTCTGTCTGTGTCCCACAGGCCCGGGGCCTGGCCTTTCACAGCCCTGTGGTGGGTGCTACATGCCCTGCCACCGGGTCCTCTTTGCCAGTCACAGATCTTTTGCTTTGTTCTGTGGCACCTGAAGCACCGAGAGGAAAGTGATTTGCTCACGGTCACCTGAGTAGGAAGTAGCATCTGAGCAGTGTCGTTTGAACACTTGTGCCCCTAACCTCTGCACACATTGCTATCCCGAAGCCTTTCAAACCACTTCAGATTTGTCTCCATTCTGAGTTGTTTCCTGTAGCTAAAGAAAAAAAAAAAAAGCCCAGGAAAGGGCTCAGGGACAGTTTACCCCATGACGGCAGGATTCCGCTATAACTTCCCTGAGGGGAATTGCTACTCATGCCCACATCTCCATTGTCACTATCTCTCCCCTAGAGTCCAGCCCCCCTACCTTTCTCCTGCTGCCTCCTGAATGTGAGCCAAAGATCCCAAACCCATGAAGCCTCAGTTCACTAATGCGGATCCTGAAGCCAAGGTCAGCATGGACTGAGAGGAGCATGCATAGGCTTTTGCATTAGACCCGCATTTGAATTCCAACTTTGCCACTTTCTAACAGAATTATTCAGCCTCTCTGTGCCTCAGTTTTATCATCTATAACATGGGCATAATAATAATACCTACAGCATCATGTTGTGGTAAGGAACCGTACACCACAGGTTTGCCCCATGTAAGTGCTCATTAAATGTTAGCTGATGTCATCCTGGCTGATGTGGCTCGGTTGGGCTTATCCAGTGCACAGTCAGTAACCAGTTTGATTCCTGGTTAGGGCACAGGGCTGGGTTGTGGGCTCCATCCCCGGTAGGGGGCGTGTAGGAGGCAGCTGATCACATTTATGTTTCTCCCTCTCCATTCTCTCAAAAATCAAAGTTTTTTAAAAATTATTTTATTATTTTTTATTTTTTTGGTCTTCACCTGAGGATATTTTTCTATTGATTTTTAGAGAGTGGAAGAGAGAGGGAAAGACAGAGAAATATTGATGTTAGAGAAACACATTGATTGGTTGCCTCCTACAGGAGCCCCAGACAGGGCCTGGGCCAGGGAGGAGCCTGCAACTGAGGTATGTGCCCTGGACCGGAATCAAACCCGGCACCTTTCAGTCCGCAGGCCAACATTCTTTCCACTAAGTCAAACCGGCTAGGGCTAAAAAAATTTTTTTTAAATGTTCGTCAATGTTAGGAACATCCCAGACACCCCAGATAGTTCAAGTCTGGAAAATTAATTCTAGGCCAAGGAGTCTGAGTTATTTCCTGTAGCTAAAGGGGGGGAAAAAAAAGAGTGCAGAACTTTGATCAGCAATTAAAGATAAGGGGAAATCATCATAAAGCGAATGTGATACTGGTTGATGGTCAATGGGAAACATGGTAATAAAATAAGGAAATTCTAGGGGATGGCTGGTCAGGATGGAGGAGGTGACAGGTGTAGCCACTTTGGTTCTTCCTTATCTAGGTGACTGCAAAAACAAGCATGACGTGTGTCTGCCAGCTTCTGCACCCTTCAGTTTCTTGAATGGCCCTCAGAAGCACATGTGCCCTGGCTGGTGGAGATGATAAATACCATCTATAGACAGAGACAGGAAGTTGATTGTTTATCTTTGCCCAAACTAAAAATAAGAGAGTAATCATCAAATAACCCAAAGGTTGTCCTCTCTTGGGAAAGCCCCAAGCTTCCTTTGGGCCCCTAAGTTTAGGCTGATTATCTTGTAGGAATGGAGAATTCGGGGGCAGGGAAGGCTGGGAAGGGTATGGTAAGTGGGAACAAAGACTGCCTACGTGCAGGAGACACCGGCCTGGAGGTTCTAGGTCAGTGGTTCTCAACCTTCCTAATGCCGTGACCCTTTAATACAGTTCCTCATGTTGTGGTGACCCCCAATTTCATTGTTACAAATTGAACATAATTAAAGCATAGTGATTAGTCACAAAAACAATATGTAATTATATATGTGTTTTCCGATGGTCTTAGGCGACCCCTGTGAAAGGGTCGTTCGACCCCCAAAGGGGTCACGACCCATAGGTTGAGAACCACTTTTCTAGGTACTGCCTGGTGAGTCACACTGACAGCCAGGGAGGTGAGGGCCCCTGTTGCTCCCACCCCTCACCGTGGTAACTGGGGAAGAATGCATAACCTGCCAGAGCTTCTGGCTGAATGAGTGCTGGGGTCAGGATTCAGCTCAGGTGAGTTGCCCAGAACCCACTTTTGTTTTTTTTAATTAAAACAATTTTGATATTTTAGAGAGGGGATCTCCATGCCTCAACCAGAGGATCCAACCTGACACCTTTTGGTGTGCAGGAAGACACTCTAACCACCTGAGCCACACCGTCCAGGGCCAGAGCCCACCTCTTTTTTTTTTTTTTTAATGTATTTTATTGATTTTTTACAGAGAGGAAGGGAGATGGAGACAGATGGAGAGTTAGAAACATCGATGAGAGAGAAACATCGATCAGCTGCTTCCTGCACACCCTCCACTGGGGATGTGCCCGCAACCAAGGTACATGCCCTTGACCGGAATCGAACCTGGGACCCTTCAGTCCGCAGGCCGACACTCTATCCATTGAGCCAAACCGGTTAGGGCCAGAGCCCACCTCTTAACCCCTGTATATACCAAACCCCTTGCAGTAGGTGAGGAGGAAGTGGAAGATGTGTGGAAGAGGAAAATACTTGAGTAGGTGAGCCACAGACACGTTCTGAGCACCTCGTTAAACAAATTCTCAAAGCCAGAATCCAGGTAAAAGGGCTCTGAGTAGCTGAAATAACTCAAAAAGCCTTTGCTGTCGGAGAGGCCACTGGGCTGTCGATAAGAATTTATTTACTCTTATTCCACACAGTTTTACCAGCTGTGGTGCTCCATACATACATAGCAGACAGAGACTGACCTTTGTGCTTTAAAACTGTCATATCTTTTAATCTGGACAAGAACTCCACAGGAATGGTCTGTTATTGCTCTTTTTACATTTGAGGAAGCTGAAGAAGTGAAGCGCAAATCACCAAGTTCAACTCGTTAGTCATGTTGGAGGCAGGACTTGAGCCCAGTACTGTCTGATAAACAGAAAGGAGACAGGGAGGCTGCAGAGGCAGACCCCTGCCAGCCACAGGGCAGGGGACAGAAGACCCCAAATGCCAGCACTGCCGTGTGTTCTATACTCAGGCCCACAATGGTGCCATGTGGCAGGACGGGATTTGCTCATTCGGTTTGGGAAAGCAGACATTCTAGAAAGATTTTCATAGGAAATGCTTGTTGTTGTGTTTTTGGTTGTTTTTTTTGGTAAACGTTTTGGCACATTAAAGGTTAACTCTTAGTGTTTTTGAAATGACATTTATGTAGCCCAGTGTCTTCCCTGACCCAGTCCTTCCATGAGCATTTACAAAGCAAGGGCTAGTCCTTATCTGGCGTGTCAGCCTTGTAGTAGTGGCCCAAATCCCATTCCTGTTTATTTACAAAACCAGAGGGAGACACCTCTCCTCATAGGTCACAAGAGTGGACCTCGGTGACCCCCCCTCCCCCAACCCAAGAGACCTGCTGCAGCTCCAGACTGAACCCCAGGCATCAAGTCAGACCAGAAAATTCTGGCTGTGTGAGGTCAGTGCTGACCTTGGAGTCACAGGGCAAAGGAAGAGGACAAGGGACTATGGGTGTAGCTCTGCTCAGAGGCCAGCGCTGGGTCAGGGAGAGGGGAAAGACGCAGGAGGGAGATGGAGTTGGGCTGGAGCAGCAGTTCCCAGAATGTGGAGCCTGTACCCAGTGGTACATGAGAACATGGATGCTGGAAAAAAAAAATATATATACACATGCACAAAGAACTAGGGATTTCAAGGCTAAATGCATAGTCCAGTATGTGAATTAAAGTGGATTGGCAGAAAAACATCAAGTAACTCAGTGAGGCGGCACGGAGGCAGGCCAACATCTAGGAGAGAGGGATGAATGTGACAGGCCAAGGGTACTGGGCAGAGGCCAAGACGAGGCAGGGCAAGAGCGGAGACTTCATCACAGGGGCAGCAGTGGGAGGGAGCCTTTCTGCAAGGCAGGAGCCCTGCACTGCTGGCCAGTGGGCACTTGTATTCCAGGCCACCTGAGGAGCAGAAGCCAAGAGGAACACAAGGGTTTTCATAGGACAGATGCCTGGGAGAAGATGTGGAAGGTGCTGGGCAAGGCTGGGGTGAGAAGGTTGGGAGGGAGTGTCCTGCTTGAAGTCTAAGGCAGGCTCAGGGTGTCCTTGGGGAGACCAGAGTTCCCAGCCATCAGAGTCTTGGGTCTCCTCTTAGTCTCCCCTCTTCACTCCTTCACTGCGGGGAGAGGGGAACCAGTGGGAAGCTTGGCCTGGGTGCACATGGGGGATGGATGTGGGTGAGCAGCAGCGCAAGCGCTCTCATCAGTTGTGCTGCCAGCAGCTGGTCTGCAGCACATAGCTGGTATTATTTTTTTGTTTTCAACCTGGATTAATTAATCTGTGTATTTGCCAAAGGTTTACTTCCAGTGTCTGAGCTATAGCTCTTACCCCGAAGCTTAGTTTACGGTTATAGTGCACTGATGGACTGGTGTGTGTGTGTATTTGTAGTGTCCCATTTTGGGGTTCTCTGATGCATTGTGAGTGTGCAAATATGGTACCTTCTCAAATGTCGTTCTTTCAAATATAGCCAATACTGGAAAATGTGGAAAACAAAAACAAAAAAAGCCCTGAAACTCTGGAAACCGTAGCAGACCCAGGGGAGAGGCTTAGGGTGGCCTCCTGTTAGGCTCTGTGAGGATGAAAGAGGGGTTGTATCAGCTGCCCAGGTTAATGGTTTAGCAAGGCTCATTGTCGTTTCACCTGTGTTCTATTTTCAGTCTTCTGCATTATTTTATGGCCAAAAGTCCAGATTAATCATTCCTTTCCTGATATCGTCAACCAGAAATACGGGAAGCAGGTGAATTTGACCTGCCCCCCCCCCCGGGGTCAAGGCCAGGTTTCCTTGGAAGGGCGGCCCCCAGTTACTCAGAGGCCTCACTCCCAGCATCTGTAAGGAGTCGATGATAATGGTACCTATCTCCTACGATTGTTGTGAGCGTTAAATGAGTTAAAACAGTGAGACATTTTGAGCTGTCGCTGATGTCACTGTTTGCTGACTAAGTGCCTGGAATATTTACCGCACGCCTGGACTTTTCCTCCACACAGGTGCCCTCCCACCTCGTACCCACTTTTCAGAAACGTTTCCCCATCTCTCAAGCCCAGGTCAAATGCTCCTTCCTCTGTGAAACCCTCCTTGATCCCCCAGCCTGCGACGGCCAGCCTCTCCTGCTCTGACTCAGAGACTTGTCATGGCCATTCCTGCCACGGTGGAGGTTTCTGGTAGGCAGGCTTCGTAGCTAATTGCCCTGTGTTCTCAGATCCTCGTGAAGGAGGTGTGACAGTGCAGGGATTAGATGTCACACAGGTGATACTCTATTTGAAGGCTGGCTCTGCCACTTGCTGTGTGGCCCTGAGCAAGTGGCCACCTCCAGTGCCTCTGTTTCTCCACCTGCCAAATGGGGACCAATCCATAGGGTTGTCCTAAGGATTCATTTAGGTACAGCAAGAGGATGGTGTAGTCTGGCGTCTGGGGGTGTCAGGAAATAGTAGCTGTCCTTATTGACAATCAGAGCCTGGTTTGGCCTGGGGGCTGACAGAGGCCCCTCCCTCTTTCATCAGGGGGGCCACTTTCTGACCCACAGTCCCTTCTTTCCAGGGCCTGCTCCAGCCAGAGCCAGCCTCCTGCCTCCTCCTGAAGATGCCCCTCCCTCCTTAAACACTGACCTTCCTGCTTCATCTGATTCAAAGGTAAATCCCCATCTGAAAGCCATATCCCCGTTTGTGGCACTCTTTCTCAGGACAGCCGTGCATGTATTCCCTGAGACCAGTTTGGGGGTTAGAGTGGGGTGAGGGGCGGGGGGAAGGAGACCAATTGAATTACTCTGAGCTTTTAAGGTATAAGTACTGACAGTCAATACAACTGGAATGGGGTTGGGGGTGAGGGGGTTCATGCACTAGTGAATAAGCATTTTTAATGAGCTTTTCCATTATTTGTGTATAAATGAGACCTGATAATTGGCAGGTCTCATTTATACATAAATATATTGGTTGTAGTAGTATTTGTTTACAAACTGCCTCCCATCCAGTTTTATTTTTTTTTTCCAACCCAAAATATGTTTGTATTATTCTGAATTTTCAATGACTTGGGTCCAGGCCACATATGAGTTTCATGGGTCTTAAGCACTTGTACTTTCACGGGCCCTGTCTTTCATTAAAAATAATTTATATTTTATAATTACATTGATATAAAAGTGAGTATAATTCAAGCTAGATTAAAAACGAAAACATTTTCTCTGACTTTAAAAGTTTCTTCTGATTTTTCAAGAAATTAAAACATATTCATTGGCCTCTAAAAGTGTGTGGGCAGGGTGCCTGGTGAAGCAGCTAGCACTGCAGGACTGATTCATGAAGCTGTGCCAAAATGCAGACTCACTTAAACAGGGTTTTAGTTTTCTTTGAAAATTAATCATGCCCAAAGATGATAACTTGGGAGAATGATCATAGTGTAATGTTAAGTGAAAACACCAAATATCAAAGTAATGTGTGCACCATGATTCTAGTTCAGCCGTGGGCAAACTATGGCCCCTGGGCCGGATCCGGCCCGTTTGAAATGAATAAAACTAAAAAAAAAAAAAAGACCTTACCCTTTTATGTAATGATGTTACTTTGAATTTTATATTAGTTCACACAAACACTCCATCCATGCTTTTGTTCCGGCCCTCCA